AATACCGATTGAATAAATGGCCGACTGATCATCTACCCTGGAAACAGACCACCAGTCGTCCAGGGGCATAGGCGGCATACTTACTATTTGTACCTGTCTTAACGTTCGGCCATACACAACAGTCGGTCTAGGGAACAAATTAAAAATACTTAGACAAATTTGAACCAAAACAAAAATTTGATTAAAAATGAGCCGGCCATAAAAGACCAGCAGAATATTCAAAACCCCGGCCCCCTGGTCGGGTAATTACAAATCAAACGGCACGCAGGCCGTGAAAAAAAAAATACTTAAAGCTGAAGAAGGGGGCAGTTCAGTATCAGCAGCTGCCGCCTGGTCAGCACTCTTCTTGCTGGACTCGGCCTTAGCTGCACCCTCTTTTGATGCCTTACCCCCAAGTGGCACAAGCGCCACAACCGGCTCTTCCTCCTCCAACGCACCGTCCAACGCCTCTTCTTCAGCAGCCGCCAGGATCTGTTGATTATATGTTTCCGAACACTGGCGGTACGTTCTTTCCCATGAGGCAAAGTCGGCACTGGGGAACAGTCGTTCCCAGGTCATGCGTTGGATTTGAGCGGAGTCTTCCACCATCTCCCGGACGAGCTCTTGTTTCTCTTGCTCGGCTTTATCCGAGAGCTCTTGGGTAAGACTCTTCTCTTGGTTCACCAGGCGTTCTTTTACGTTGGCCAAAGATTTCTCCATGGCTTCGTAAGAGTGCATTTTTTGGCGAAGAGGTTTCAGCTCGGCCTTAAGGTTGGTGACGGTCCCCTCCAGCTCGTCAACCTTCTTTTGGGCCGCCTCTAACTGAGCCCGAACAGCGGCGGTAGCCTGCGCCTGATAATAAAGAAGATCAATGGTCAGTACTTCATTTTGGGCAATTTGAAACATTGCCTTATCACAGCTGGAGGCGGCCATAGCCTTTGCGGCCTTTACCTCTTTGTTTTTCCGATCAATCGGCTTGCGAAGGCTGTTGACTCGGAGCAGGGCCTAAGTACAAAGAAAAACAGGCGTCAGTTTCCAAATAAAAAGTTAACAGGCGTCCTGGAACTCAAAAGCTCAAAAATATACTAAGTATACCTCAGCAAGGACCCCTGAAATTCCATCAAGGTCAAGGGTGCCGGCACCCCTGACCGCCTCCCTGTCAGATGGAGGAACTACTTTAACCATAGACTTGGCTACCTCAACCAAGTCAAGTCCCTGGGGGCCGGCTGCATTAAGCGAAAGGAAAAAACAAGTTAGACCTAGTCAAGAAGGAAGCAAGGGTGAGTTTTTACAAGTGAGGGTCCATACATCTAGGCGGCCCCGCCTGGGTTTTTGAAGAAGTGGCCGGCTGCTTCTCAGCCGCCACTGTTTTCCTGGAAGACCCAGGAGAGCTTGCAACAGTCGTCCTCCGGGCCTTGGGGTCCGGCTGCTGCGAGGAGGAAGCCCTTGGAGTGCCAGACTGAAAACAAAAAGAGTTAGTATATGCATAAGACAACTAAAAGAGGAAGAGTTTTCGAAGTTTACCAAGGGTGCCTCTTTGTTGGGGGAGTCGGCATACGACTGCTTCATGAGCGAGGCCCGCAACATGGCCGCCGCAGTCTTGGATGCTGTTATTTTACTCATGGCGTCAGCTGCAAGAAATAAACAGCAAAGTTAGTAAAAATCCCAAGTAAACAAGGTGTGAAAAAACAGAGTATTTGTCAGGCCGGCTACCTCTAGAGCACCGACTGCCGAGGCCACAGGCGGCCAAAAAGTACTCGTCATAGAGCCACTTGAAGCTCGGGACGCAGTTTAGGGGTACTTGCTCTCGTACCCCTGAAGTAGAGTTCACCCTAGTCTCTACTTTGAAGAGTCCTTTGTCTAGGATCTCTTTTTTAGCCTTTGGGGGAACAGGCGGCATGCTGCGGCCGCCTGCGAGAAGAGGCGGATCCCTATTCCACTTGTTAAAGCGTTTGTTCAGCTCCGTGTCTGAACCCTCGATAATAAGGAAGGTGTTCCGCCAATCCTTCCATTTGTTCGCCTTACCTCTCGTCATGAGGTAACCCCTATGGCTTGTTAGTTGGTACCAGCCGGTACCTCCCGACTTAGGGGTCCAGCTGAGATAGTTCATGTGGGCGAAAGCCTCAAAACTTGGCTCCACCCCGTACATTTCGCACCCGGCCACATAGCCGAGTACGTTTACCCAAGAGTTGGGGGCTAACTGCCATAACCCCAGATCATACCCATCTAAAATCCGCTGAACAGCCGGATGTAATGGGAAGCGCAGTCCAGCTTTGATGGCCGCCACATAGCAGCCAAAGCAGCCGTCACCATAGCTGGTACCAGCCGGCCAGACGACAGTGTCTTCTGGATCCGGCACAAACAGTAAAAATTCCGGGCCCATTTTGTGGTTAGCAATAAAGCTCGCCACGTTGTCTTGCATGGTTGCAATCCGGCCCCGGGGTACCCTGCAGTAGTAGGGGGCGTTTTCCTCTCTGTAAGAGGCGGATGGCTCCGCCCAATTGTCCCCCTTCTCAACTGCATGAGAAAGTCTCGCCTCTTGTAGGCGGCTATGTTTTTCTTCTGAACCTGGAGAACTGTGTCCAGAAGAGCTGGACTCAGACTCGTCCTCTAACGAGTCCGAGGAGGACGACTCCTCCCCTCTCCTAGAGGGGCCCGCCTCCTCTCCCTTAGAAGGAGCAGAAGGAAAATTAGACATGTCAACGGTAAGATGGGAAGGGAACACCTTGGCCCCTCTCTCAGAACTGTCGGCTTGACAGACGCCTCGTTCTACATCTGGCGCCTGGTCAGATGTTTCACTAAGGAGCACCCTTTGGGAGGAGTCGTCTGAGTTTGATATCTTAGCAGTCTGTTTCGTTTTGGCCATCACGTTCTGCATAGACACAGATACAGTCGGACTTTGTATAAAGGGCAAAGATGGGTCCAGAAAAGGGCAGGCGGCACTCCTAGTCCTAGATTCAGCCGTCCCCGGTGACCGGCTGATCACTAACTTAGGTCGTGTCGTGTGCTTCCATGGTGCCATTTCAAAAAATAAAAAGAAAATTAAGAGTAAGAGAACTGAGTTACCTGAACGAGTGTCGGTTGATGAAGTCCTGGAAGTTCGGGTCAGTCGGCTTGTCAGAACAGGCGGTAGGCAGAAAAAGTCCGAAATGTCAGAGCAAGTTCAAGGGTCCGGATGTTCTCACAAAGTTCTCAAATGTGAAAATGACCGAAAGTCAGCACTTCCTTATATAGGCAAGGTGAGAAGGCGAAAGGTCGCTTCCAAATTCAAAATTTGGGCGGGAAAATCTCTCGGCCGTTTGCAAGGTGACACCTGTAACAGGCCGTCGCCTGTCACCGTGCGACACCTGTCACAGGCGACACGTGACCAGTCACGTGCCGCCTGTGAGGGGCAAATGATTAGGGGATTTTTATCCACCAATCACCGTCTGACAAGTGGACCAACCAGGTTCCGCCACGTGTCCTTCACGAAGGACAACAGGAGCCTGCCACGTGTCAATCACAGATACGTCCTCTACGGACCACTTTAGACACGCCACGTGTCCACCCATGCCAAATGGGAAAACCGGCCATCAAGGCCCAATCCAGTCTAGAGGCCCGATCAGCCCTAGGTTTACCCTAAACCTAAAGAGGTGGCACGCTTCTCAAGGCTATAAATACTTAATTAATCCTCATTAATCACACGATCGAATAATCAAGAAATCAAGCAGAGAAGAACAGAGTTATTAACAACCGGCTAATCTCGCTAACGACGCAGATTACCAACACTAAGCACTCTCACCTAGAGAGATCTCATTACTTTAATTTCTGTATTAACTACTCCTTAATCAGGTACTAACTTGACCGTTGGAGGCGGAGCTCTCAGGAGTCTCCGTTATTTTGCAGGTACAGGCGTCCGGTTCCAGTCTCGGAATTGTAACTCTCCCGCAGGACATCAGAAAACCCCGAAACAAATGATATAAAGACATCTAAAATTATCGTGGAGCAGTTCAGAAGCGATGTCATTAGTTTAGGAGTGTTTAATTCTTGTATTGAGAATTTAGATCTCTTAATGGATGATTGTAAATGCCGAATGACTATTATTATTTAACAAAATCACCCCTCCCTATTCCATTCAAAAAAAAAAAAAAAAAAAAAAAAAAAAAAAAAAAAAAAAAACTTTTATAACCTTGTATTAATATCTTAATTCATTATTACGGTTCAGTTAGTCAAAGAATAGTCATATATAAATCAAGCATATTTTTGTTTCACAACTTTATAAAATTATAAATATTTTTTTTTTGTTGAAAATAAAATTATAAGTTATAAACCTTTGTAGATTAGCTTAAACATACTTTAGGAAAATTGGCTTAAAATAATACCAACTATCAACAGTGTGTGCAAAATAATACGAACTTTACTATTTGCTATTAGCTGTATCACCTTTTGTACTATATGTGCAAAATAGTACACCAGTCACTGGAAAAGTATCGTCTATATTTATATTTATTATTATTATTATTATTATTATTATTATTATTATTATTATTATTAATTTTCTGTTTTAAATAATACCCCACCCCTTTGTTAGGCTTTTTTTTTAATATTGAATGTGTATTTAATTTTTTTTTTTTAAATACTTGTAGTAATTTTTTAACCATACAATAGTAAATAGGGTATTTAAATGCATTATTATTTTGATACAATTAGTTTCAAAAATTGTCTAAAAGATCCAAAAATTTCCCCACATTATTTTGGTCGATGAATGTGGGGAAAAAGCCTAACAAAGGGATGGGGCATTATTAATTTGGATTATAAAGAAAATTGTTAACAAAATATGTATTTTGAAAAGAAAACATAAAATTAATAAAATAATAATAATAATAATAAATATAGACGGAATATTCCTCGAAATACTTTTTCGGTGACCGATGTACTATTTTGCACATATAGTACAAAAGGTGGTACCACTAATAGCAAATAGTTGAGTTCGTATTATTTTACACACACCATTAATATTTGGTATTATTTTAAGTCAATTTTCCTATACTTTATGTTATTAAGATTGAAATGTCATGCGTGCTGTATATTTTTATCTTAAGATGGGTAAATAAACAAAAGAAAAGAGGGTTATCCGTTAATTAAGGGATCGGAAAGGTTAGCAATCAAGCAAATATTGCGAAAGGCTCTAGATTACTACTAGCACACGTATATACTCAAATTAGATTGTTTCAAGGTTGTAAATAAGCAGAAGAGAGAGAAATATTGCCATTTGATCAAATGAAAAACAACCCTTAACAAAAAAAACAGAAAGGAAAAAGAGGGAGAGGAAAAAAGAAACAAACTTTAAAATAAATATATGGAAGCTTGAATTGGTTTTTATAATTTAATTCTTACATTATTCAACATCTCTAAGTGATTCTTCTTATCCTACATCTCCTCTGCGTTCTCTTTTCGAGGAATCGAGGCGCGGAGGAGGTACAACATAAGAAGAATACACACAAAGAGGAAAAAGAGAGGGGTTAAGGTTAAGGTTAAGAAGCTAATTTATAAATTAAGGCAACTGCGAACAAAGAAGGTTGATAATATATGATGTGGAATCAACAACACCACCACCTTCAACAACAACTATTACCACCACCACCACAAAATGTTGTTAGTGAGGTTAAGAAAAATGGTGAAGTTGCTGTTGCAATTGATAAAGATAAAGGAAGCCAATATGCTCTTAAATGGGCTGTTGATCATGTTCTTAATAAGGGTCAAACTGTTACTTTGCTCCATGTTAAGCAAAGAAATCCTACCAATTCCCTTATAAGTATGTAATTGTTTAATATGTTTCTCTGCATTCATTTATGATAGAGTATAAAACATATTCTTGGGCCTCAACCATCAACTTAAGTTTTTGGTTGAGATGGTGCTCTAACATGGTATTAAGAGCTAGCGAAATATATTCTTAGGCCTCAACCATCAGTTTAAGCTTTTGGTTGAGATGGTCTTCTAACAACTTATTTATGTTTTTGTGTACTATAAACATGCAAACATAACATTATTTCCTTCATCTATACATATATGGCTCTCTCCTAGGGTCGGGTTGGGTTGAAAGTCAAACTTTTTGGCCTTTGGCGTGGGGTGTTTAGGGTCGTTATGTTCTTAGGCTATTTTGGCCGAACAAACCTATTTTACCATGTTCAGGTGGAAATCTCGGACAAAATGTGTTTTTATGGTGAACCTTGCTTGCAGAACGATTTATGATCATCTCTAATGGATTTCTATGGAAAGAGGTGTTAATTTAAATTGTTAATTATGAACCATTTGGAATGTAGGTTGCATGGCTGTTACATGTTACTTTAACCATCACGAAAAGAAAAAAAAAAAAACCAACATTATACCATAAAATGTAACAGTATATGCATGATGTTTAATGATTTCATTATTTGTAGGGTTGTTTAAATATCAATTAATTCATAATTAGTATATCACATCGTACTTAAAAAGATATAATTTCCTCTTAACAAAAAAAAAAAATTATGTGGTTGTTTACAATGTGTTGCTTACTTGCCTTATTACCAATGTCTTATGCAATTACAGATTCGCCGGCGCCCCTCTCTGATAGCCATGAAGATGTTGCTAGATCCGCTAAGTACTACGCTGAAACTCAAGCTCGGGAGATCTTCCTTCCTTTTCGATGTTTCTGCAGTCGTAAAGATGTTCGTTTTCTTTACATTCTCTTTTAAGCTTCTATTGATATGTTGTTCTTAGGTACAAAATTAACTTTGTTTAAGCTTACAATCTTATCCATGATTTTTTTTTTTTTCCTTAGGTTGTATGTAATGAGGTTATTTTGGAAGACATTGACATTTCGAAAGCTTTGATAGAATACTGCCAACATAACGCGATTGAGGTCATGGTTGTAAGTGCTTCATCAAGGAATCAATTGATGAGGTAATATTTGTGTACGTTAATGATTAGACATACAAGTGTTAAGAATCGTGTATTTTGGATCAAGATCGGTAGTTAATTCTTGGACGATTAGACAACCAATAGGGGGCATAATGTCGATAGTTGTCTTACATGAGTCTCACTATAGTTTGCTCACTAAGGGTATTTACGACATTTTGCCCTCTATTAATTGCCTAATCTATTAGGCATATTAGACTTTTTATGTCATGCGCTTCTTTTGTTTGGAGCAGGAGGTTCAAAGGCCCGGATGTTGCAACAAATCTATTCAAAGGTTGCCCTGAATTTTGCTCTGTGTATGTGATCTCGAAGGGGAAAATGTTACATAGTCGATCCGCCACTCGTCCTCTCCCAAGACCTTCTAGCCGAAGCCCGCCACATTGCCAACCCATTCCCAATGGTATCCCTATATATGAATCCCCTATGCGTCCAGGTGGTTACGTTTCAAGAGGTACAATTATCATTTAGACCGTGCTCTCTTCACTTAATTGTTACACCTATTAAATAGACTTTCATTGAATATTAAGTTGAAATAAACAAACCTTATATCAAATCTTTTTTTTTTTTTTTTTTTTTTTTTTTTTGTGCAACAGACAGAGAAAAGATGCATTTTAACCCAAATAGGGGCATTGAAGAAATGGACTCAATAAGGCAAGTGCGCGATTTTTACAGCGGTTGCACCAGATAGTTTCTGCGAAGTACCATATATGCATATACAACAACCATTTAACCATAATCTTTATTTTTTTGGAAATAGGTCACCATTTACTAGGGGAAGAGCAGCAAATGGCAGGGCATATGGTGAAATTGGTATGCCAGATTCAGACATATCATTTGTTAACCCTTCTTGGCCAACCAATGAGCCAAGAGTTAGTATTGATCGTCCTTCCTTTGATGCAATGGACTGGGGTCTCGCGCCTCGGGCTTCGAGTGGATCGGATGCAGATCGTATGAGTGTTGGTTTAGTGACAGACAGGAAATCAATCGATCAAAATGCCTTATTGGAGTATTCCTCTTCAAATTGTAGTGGCTTTTCATCATCTTCAGTAAGATATCTAACAAAATTGAAGGATAAGATTTCATTGTCTTTGTAAACCTTCGTAAAAATTGATTAAAAGTTTGATTTTGATTGAAATTGACAGGAAGATTTTGAGTCTGAGATGAGAAGATTGAGAATGGAGCTCAAGAAAACTATGGAGATGTACAATGCAGCTTGCAAGGAAGCACTAACTGCAAAGCAAAAGGTACTGAAATATTTTTTTACTAAGATTAAATACATGTGCCATATGACTTGTGTCCGATTACTCGAATTGAATATAAAATTACGTGGCTTGTTATTGACTCAAACTGAAATTGACATGACCGTAACCTATCCAAAAATTTTGTTGCTTAGAGAGCCACAAGGGCAGATGATGAGAATCGATCTCAGGATCTCCTAAAATCGGGAAGAAAACTCTAACTAACCTGCCCAAAAATTAACTTGGCTAATATTGATAATTCAACCCGTTAAGATAGATGAATGTAGACTCAATATGATGCACGAAAACTTTGTTTGGAATCAACATTTCTATTTTGGGCACGCTTTTATACCCGAAACTCTCTTAAATAATGTTTCATTTCCCTGATTTTCCTCTTCTCCAAAACTTATGTTTCCTAGTTTAATTTCCCCGAAGCACTATCTTATTATCCGTTTCCATGTAACCACAAATATCTGAGCCCGAAAAATATGTAATGCAAAGTACACTAATAATTTGTTTGTTTGCCAATTTTATCCTTAGGCAAGTGAGCTTCAAAGATCAAGGATTGAAGAAGATCACAGATTAGAAGAGGCACGTTACGCAGAGGAAACAGCACGAGCAATCGCGGAGCAAGAGAAAGCCAAGTGTAGAGCGGCAATGGAAGCAGCCGAAGCCGCTCAGAGACTGGCAGATCTCGAATCACAAAAGAGAGAGCTAGCAGAAAAGAAAGCCACCAAAGAAGCAGAAGAGAAGAAGGCAGCACTTCAAGCTTTGAATCACAATGATGTTAGGTATAGGAAATATAGCATCAAAGAGATTGAAGCTGCTACTTCTTACTTTTCTGAATCACTTAAGATTGGTGAAGGTGGTTATGGTCCTGTTTATAAGAGCACTCTTGATCATACACTTGTAGCCATTAAGGTTCTTAGGCCTGATGCCGCGCAGGGAGAGGCACAATTTCAACAAGAGGTAAGTCATGTGCTTCCAGGTTCATAAAATAATTTGTACATATGATTATAGGTCGTGTTTAAGGAAATGAGGTTTAGCTTATTATTTTAGGACGGCCTAAAATTGGATAAATGTTCGCATATATCAAGATGCTAGGGCCAATATATGTATGCTAACTATATTCCCTTACCTCCCCTCTCTACTTTCAAGCGTTGACCTGTATAGCTAAGCTAACTGACTTGTGAGAAATGCTGGTTCAGTAGGGTCTTTCTTACAAAAAATAAGATGCTAACTATATTAACTGGTCTATGGTAAATGCTACAAAGTATTCAACTTGCTAAAAGTTATGGAACAAAAGACTATAATATATGCACAATTACATGTGATGCAGGTTGAAATATTAAGTTGCATAAGACATCCAAACATGGTGCTCCTCTTGGGAGCATGCCCCGAGTACGGTTGTCTAGTCTACGAGTACATGTCTAATGGAAGCTTAGAAGATCGCCTCTTTTGTAGAGATAACACTCCGCCACTCCCATGGCAACTAAGATTCCGTATTGCAGCAGAGATCGGTACAGCATTACTCTTCCTTCACCAGTCAAAGCCTGAGCCATTAGTGCACCGTGACCTTAAACCAGCCAACATTTTACTAGATCGAAATTTTGTGAGTAAAATCAGTGACGTTGGTTTGGCAAGGTTGGTGCCACCATCTATAGCCGACACAGTAACACAGTATCGGATGACTCAAGCAGCCGGAACATTCTGTTACATCGATCCAGAGTATCAGCAAACCGGGATGCTAGGGACTAAATCGGATATTTACTCCTTAGGCATCTTGTACTTGCAATTGATCACGGCTAAGCCAGCTATGGGTTTAACTCATCACGTACAAAGGGCTATCGAAAGAGGGACTTTTCGAGATATGTTGGATCCGTACATACATGACTGTCCTTACGAAGAGGCCTTACAATTTGCTAAACTTTCGCTTCAATGTGCAGAGTTACGAAGGAAGGATAGACCTGATCTTACACAAATACTTCCTGAGCTTAACAGATTTAGGGAGTTTGGTGAAGCAAATATGCCCACCATCATGTTTTCTCCCGTACCTTCAAACTCGTCGTATAGGCCAAGTCAAGTCATGACCATAAACAATGTAAGTTCTACACAACTATTACTACTATTACAAGTACAATACAGTAATCCCTCGTCCCTAAATAATATATCACATTCAATTTTTGGTCACTAAACATGTACATGCTACAAGGACTAACGATCTGTTTGGTTTCAGTATTCACAGGATAGTGAAAACCCATCATTGCAATCGACGGCATCTAGCAACAGAAGCCAAACAAGTGTTTCATCTTCATCAGGAGAAAAATTGTAGCATCTATAAAATCTTTTTTATTTCTCTCTCTCTCCAATCGTAAACTTTATAACATTTGATCAATGTAAACTCCCTAGAAGGCTAGTTTTCACCTAGTCCTCCCTACCCATGGATCGCCTATTGGCCACCAAAGAAAACGTAAAGATGAACAAAATATGGATGCGACAGAGGTGGTAATACGCTATAAGCTAAGTTGTGATGAAAAAAGTGGGAGAATAGTATATTTTTCAGATTTATGTTAAGAGTTGGATACAATTCGACTTTGGAATAGAGTTTTGTATGTACAAAAATTTTATTAACAGATAATTCCATTGTCTTTTTAGTCCTCACATTTTTGTTGTGGCAAATTAGCAATGTTTCTATAAAAAAAATTTGATGTACTCATATCAGTTTCATCAGGGTTGATTTGAAGTTGTAGAATTTGTCAATGCAACTTTTTGGAACATTTTCCCTATACAAGACTATAAAGAATATACTTGTATAAGCTTTTAACTACAAATAAGTAAAAAAATAGGGAAAAATACATATATGTTTATCCTACCAAAAACAAATTTTGAGCAATCCTTTCAAATTAGATTATTAATGTTGCAAAGAAGCAAACGAGTATAGGAAAGTTTTGAAAGGGTAAGAAAACACAATAACTAAATTCAAAGTCTTACCATCTTAGCCAACTATTATTTTTATAGACGAGTATAGGAATTGTTATAAAAGGTGCAGCGGGCTGGCAGTGTCCAGTAGGCTGAGGCCCTTGGAGTAGCCTACGCAAGCCTACTCCAGCAGACTGAGCTACCCAGCGCCACCAACTCGGACAAGTACAAAGGTAGAGCTAGAGCATAAGTTTAAACGATAATAACCAAGAAAGGGACCAACATGACAACAAATTTCTGCTCAGCTAACCCAAGAAGAATTAATGAGTATATTCAATATTAACAAATTATCCACACCATTCCAAGAATTTCATTTGCAACCACGGATTCAACCCCCAAACAAAAAGAAAGAGAAAAAATACTACAAGTTGAAGGGATGTCTTGCCTATTTAAATGTAAACAAGTATCCTAGTAATAACTAGACTATCTGCATTGCTTGAGTAAGTCTTGGTTCTAAATCCAAACACCCCTCCCCTCTCTTCCCCAGGCAGAAATAAAGGGGAAACAAAGACGAGGATGTCTAAGCAGCCAATTGTTTCACAGGATCATTGCAGTAAAGAAACAACAATCTCAAACTGACATACACTATTGCCCTTCATCCATCTGATCAGTTCCTTGCCCCAATGCATCAGGTTCCAAACCTTTTGTTACGGAGTCTTCTAATGCCTCCAGGAAAGAAAGAACAGTAAACTTGTCTGCATGCACGAAGAAAATAAAAAATACAATCAGCTTCAATAATTAAAGCTTGTCACACAGCAGCACTCGAAATCATTGAACTCTTCAAAACTGTTATTAATCAGTACACAGATATCCTGATACATTACTCAGACAAAATCCTGGTTTTCTACAGACAAGTGGTTGAGCAGAAAGCCTCAGAATTGAAAAACAAACGAACGAAAGGCAAGAGAGGAAGGGAGGGTGCAGGTTGCTCACATTTACTCGGGTCAATGCCAAATTGAGCCAAATCTATTTGGCCTGTCTTCAGAACCTACAGAAAAAAGAATATGAATAACAATACATGCAAGAGGGGTGGGGGGAGGAAAAAAGAGCAACCCTTTTGATGATATATGTTCTTACATAAGTGAAAGCATCAACTTGTTGGCGGAAAGGAGCACACTGTAGTACTTCTAACAAGTCATGACGTGACTGTTGACCCTGTAATCTCAAAGATATAAAACATAGCCCTGTAGAAATATAGTAAGCTTAAAAAAGTACCAAAATATATTTACCTCTGGCAAATATGAAGCCAGGCGTTCTTCAATAGGTAAAGTCTCAAGTAATGGTAATACCAAATCAGGCTTCAAAAGATCCCCTAAACCAAAGCCTGTAACAGACAGACAGCAACAATAAGACACAGCCATTATAAGACACTTCCTTTTATCTGATTTGATGAATGATATACGCTTATATTCACATACTATCCAACAGTGAGTCAGTGAGTTCAAACGTACACAAGACAAGCAGCAAAAGATGAACAAAAACCACAAAGCTTATTGATTCCCATAAATACCAAGGCATCCTTAATCTACAAATGACAAAATTCTCCTATGCAGACAGCAGAGTGAGGTAAAGACTAACAACCATCAATGAATTTTCCCATTTAAATGGCAATCAATATACAGCCATGAAGCAGATAATGCATCAGACTGGGTAACACTTGTAGCATTTTATTGAATCGGAGATGGGCATTACCCTTAGTGATGTTACAGCTACAAATATTTTCCTCATTACCTTAATTACAAAATGCTAAAAATAGCAGGATAATTCAGAAGAAAAATGAGTCATTCTTCTTTAACACGAAGCCGATATAAACCAGGAAAATAAGATATATCAATCACTTAAAACAACTCAGTAACAATAAGAGAACAGACTCTATATATAAATAGATAAGTCCTTCATATACCAGGAGGAAAGACTCAAGCTAAAATGTTTGATTACCAAAACACTCTCACAACTGCATATGTAAGTGATATATAAATCTTAATGAAATGTGTGGTTACCTCCATCAGGATCTTCCATATCATCTACAGATCCTACAAGGTAACAGATAAGAAATGAACATAGGAACTGGGGGGACGGGGAGAACAAAGGAAGAGGCCAAAATTTTGATGGTCGAAACAACAGTGTTTTCAGAAAAAGATACCTGCAGGTTGTAGATTACTTAATATCCTTTGCAAATCAGACATTTTTACTGGTCCAGGGGCCGAGGTCACATCACTCACTACTTCACCTCCCATGCTAGAGCCAATCAAATTACCAGCTCTGCATTTTACAAACAAGTATATGAAGATTTAAACTATATGGGCAACTTTTAAAAAATACAAGTATTTAAGAAATGAACATATAAGAATACAAAGAGATGATGGTCAAACTCAACTTTAAATCCATTATGGAAACCGGGAAACGATTATGTAGGGAGTAGTATTGGTTGACATCACAGAATGTTCCAAAATGCTGACATTAGCAGAGTGTAATTTACCAAATTTATACTACTAGAGTTGAACCATTACAGGCCATAATACTACAAGCCATATAAACTTCAAAGTAACATTATATTCCTACCCAAAACATAAGTTATTTTAGCCCATTCCTTTCACCCAAAATATAAATGCACTATGATACAAACGCAACATTAAAAACCATTACTTTTAATACACTACAACACTAATGCAACATTGATCAACTTACTAATTATAATGTGTGCTATATAAATGTCAAATTATAATAGTACTCATAAGTTATTTCAGCCCATTCCTTTAATCCAAAATAAAAATCTAAACAGATATATTAAAAGGCGTTCCTAAGAACGTCTATGTGCCACGTAGGCCCTTTCACTACACCATGTCACCTACTCTACATCTCATTATGCCGCATCAGCACTCAATCAACCTTAATCATTATGCCACGGCACCCAATCAACTAACATTACTCCATATAAAAGCATAAGGATAAGGAGATTCGAACACCCAAGCTCTTATAATAAGGATGGTTTTTTAACCATCTAAACCAATTATCAACCATATTAATAACATGAAAATAAATGTATATAATTGCAAATCACAAGGTCTAATTTAAAAAAGAAAAAAAATTCACCATAAAAATTAAATACATATAATCACCAGGTTTAATTAAAGTAGGAACTCGGTGCAATGCCCAGGCCACACACTAGTGTTCTATGATAACAAAACAATATTAAATGCCATTAATAGTCTTAATACACTACAACACTAATGCATTATTAATCAACTTTCTTATTATGTGTGACAATTCTTGAAGTGTTATATTTTGGATCAAAGAGAGTAGCTCTTACTAATAAATTTTTTTTTTTCACTCAATCAATGGCAACTTTCCAGGGGCAACTTACTAGAACAGAACTATGCAAGTTATCCTAGACAGACAAAATTAACGCAAAAAAGGTGTGCTGTTTGAATTTTTGAGTGTATAATCTTCAACATATACATGATCTCATCTCGTAAAAGCAAGCATTTTCTATTCTTCTTTTTTATTTTCTTTTTGGGCATTTGAAATGGAAAGAGAAGCACTTCATTGTAATACTCCCAAATACTGACATAAGCAGAGTGAAGTTAAAATTAGACAACCAAATTAATTAGTAAAGGCCACAACACAGCAAACATTGTGATCGTTTGGTTAAATACTTGCACTTGCCTAGCATTAGCAATTCTTTTGTATTTTCACTTCCTAGAAATTGAGCAATATTGTTTGGTTGAGCATAGGAAGATGGAATTCCCATGAGAAGTTTTATTTATATAGGGGGGATTAGGTAAGCAATTTCCCTCATTATGTGAGAATTAGAACTTTCCTAAGTTTCAATTCCTATGCTCATGTCAACCAAACAATACTAGCTTCTTTTTTTTTTCTTTTTTTTTTTGGTTTAAGGGGTAGATTAGATTAATTCATCAACGTAAACAATACTTCCTCCGTTCTAGTAATATTGCAACAACTGGACTTTTACACTATTCATCACGCTTGTTTGACCACATATTATGATTTTATACGTAAGGTAAAATTAGTCATATGGAGTCTTGTCAAATTCGTCTCGTAAAATACTTTCACAATATCAACTTTTTATAATTTTTACTCTTTATATAATTACAGATATTTAACATATAAAATGTGTTTTGGGATGCGTAATTTCATCCTTGTTGCAATATTTGTGGATCAAAGAAAGTATAAACTTCTAGTTTTTAGAAAAGTAGACTTCCCATGAATTAGAACATCAGCCAAATAAAATCATACTAACTTCAACAAAACAATGTAGCTTTTACGAAGGCTTTTTATCTCAAACATTGATAAGTTTCCCAGGAGAACAGAGTTCTGCAAGTATTCTTATTCCAACTGTGTACGAAAATTAATACATACATGATGACATCCCTTGAAAGCAAGCATCTACTATCATTTTTCTTTCTTTAATTTTCCCTTCTCCCTTTTCTCTGTTTTTATGCAAGGTATAGGCACATTTCATTCTCAATGCAATATTGCAATGGTTGATCATCAAGTACAAATCCCCTATGAAATCTAAGCCTATAGTACATCAGATTCTCAGAGAAGAAAATGTACCTAGATGATATATCATCTTCAACCATATCCTCGGTTTGAATGGGAATAGATGCTCCAGAATCCTCTTCAGCAAGAAATTCTACAACCAAAAAAAAAAATAATAATAATAATAATAAATATATAAAATGAAGCTCAATAATTTGTCCAACATGGTTAACATATATATTTCACTGTCAGTCTGAACAAAAATGAATTCTAATACTATATTGCAACTAAACAGGATGACTGAGACAAACTACAAACATCTATCATGCACAAAGACCTCTGATTGGTGACATTTATCATCTTCAAAATATCCCAATTACAGAGGATTGTGTAGGATGTCTTTGAAAAACTTTAGAAAGATGAGGGTCGAAGTCCAGTAGACAGCGAACAGTGAACAGTGCCCATGCATTGCAAACATGCTTGGTTTGCCCACCAA